TAACCTCCATCAAAGATGGCGCAAACAGAAGCGATGGTTTGCACTTTGGAGATCATGTATCACTAATCTATCTGACACCATATTATTAGCAACATGCCTTTGAAACCTAGATGTCGCAGTGAAACATGGTTAGCAAAGACGCAAAACATGATGAGATGATTGATCCCGCATTACTGCAGCGGGCAGAAGTCAATAAAAACAAGTGTTTACCTGACAACACGACTCAGCTCCGAGTTGAACTGCTCCACCGCTTACTTCTCTGTAGTTTTAAAAAGATATGAAAGCTAAATGGTGACCGCCTCATACCTCCAGTCTACAGAGAAAAGTGGGAGGATCACTTCCTCCTTTAGGTGACAGCTCGGTTACAGCTGCAGATCACATGTGCTGCTTTCCATTTACTTATAAAGAATGGCAACACATTTTCACACCTAATCTAAAAAATGTGCAACTAACCCCAAACGTTATAGTTCAAGCTATTTTGACCCTGGCATCTTATTTGTTATACCTTGGCCAGATTAACCTGAGCCAAGGGGGACCCTCCTGACCCCAAACAATGATGACCCCCAACCTTAGAGTATCTCGAAGATTTTCATTTAAGTCACAGTCTATTGCTTAATTGAGCATAATGAGGAACAGATTAAGTATTGCCATATTTATACCTTAACAATTGATACAAACTGGACATATTCTGAATTAAAGGGGCCCAATATCCTTATTGGGGGTTTCCCTTTCCTGTAGTGTTTTCTCCCACATACAGTAGTTTTACTAATTGCATTTACTGCCCCATTAGTTCTGGGACTTGTAGTATCAGCAGAGGTGGAAGAAGTATTTGGAACCAGAGTCAGAGTGTCGGAATACTCTGTTACAAGTAAAAGTCCTGCATTCAAGTACAAAAGTATTTTCATCAAAATATACTGAAAGTACCAAAAGTAAAAATACTTATTCTGCAGATTGGTCCATTTCAGAATAATATACATCATATGTTTTCCTTATAAGTATTGATGCATTAAAGTTGTCAAAGCTGGTAAAGGTGCAGCTAGTTTTAATGAATTTGTATGCTGCAGGGTAGCTTTTGAATTTACTCCAGGTGTAACTAAAGTCTGATTTAAGAGTTGATTATATTTCACATTATTCATCCAAATCTGCAAAGTAACTAAAAGTGTTAAATACATGTAGTGGGGTGAAAGTACTCACTTGAACTATGAATTGTAGTGGAGTAGAAGTACAAAGTAGCATAAAATGGAAATTCTCAAGTAAAGTATCTCAAAATTGTACTCAAGTACAGTACTTACGCCACTTAGTATCAGACTGCATTTGTTACAGGGTGATGCCAAATCAATCATGACCCTAAGTAAATCCCGCTGATGATAGTTAGTATGTTCTTTTTCTTAAAGCTTGGGTAGGAACATTTGGGGAAGCAAGCCAGAGTGAGTTAGAGATTTAACATGACCCAACCGAAAAAACAATCCCAGTGTTGCGAACTGTCAATATTGGTCAAGGTGAGATTTCCATATCTCGGATTATGATGACGCAGACACCACAAATATGTCAGAGCTGGAAACACTGACTAACCAGAGCCGTTTTGGGAAAAGGGCTTAAAGAGACAGGCACTTAAAACTGAGCATTTCAGACAGGTGGTGATGACAAGTATGCTCAGATACAGTATGAGAAAATTGATGTTTTTTTAAACATTTATGTACTTTCTAGTACAAACTCAAAACTGTATGAACCTTAAAATTATATGTCAAGTGCAGTGAGTCAGCCTCTTGGCTACCGACATACATTAGTAATGCAGCTTTGATGTACACAAGCGGTCATAAAATATGTTAAACCCAACCTCATTCTGTCAGAAATGCAGCATCATCACTCCTGTATCTGTGACAACCCTGTGGTTGTCCAGCATGTGGTGCTGTTGTAACCTTGGTTTTCCTTGTAATCAGCAGTGATGAGACCCACCTGTGGCACCTGGTTCCAGTATTTAAGAGGGCTGCAGAACAGGCTCTCGCTCTCTCTCGGCTGCCCTGCTCGGTGCACCAGGCCACCGCTCCTCTGTGTGTTTTATTGTTAGTTGTAACCACTGTGTTGGGATAAATAAATGATCGTTTTGGGCAACTCCTGTGTGGAACTGTTGTCCTTTTGTCACAAGCAGAGCCAGCTTGTAACATATGGGGGCTCGTCCGATCCAAGAACCAGGTGATATTTGTTTACTTGATTTGTCTGCCTTGATTGTTAGACAGTTTATTCCTGGTGTAGGGCATTAAGGAGTAGCTTTGGGATTACCTTTCCTGATAGGCATAAGCAACATCTCCTTTAGGGGAGCTTGTTGGTTTGTTGTTTTTGTTTGTTGTTTTTGATGATGATTCGACATTTTTGTCATGGGTACACGTCCGTGGCTGTCTTGGTGAGTAACAGCTTCGCTGGGGCTTTACCGGGTCATTGGGTAAGTGTTTAAAACACCTGTCGTGGCATGCATGAAGACTAGGGTGAGACAAGATAGTTAGTATTGGGTAGGCAAACAAATCCTTTTAAGTGTCTGTGCACCAGGTTCAAGGGAGTTTGCATAATCATGGCTACATTGATGGATTCTGTTAAGAGTCCCAGTGTGGAACTGCTGGAAAAATGTACCAAAGACCAACTGTTAAAGATTGCAGAGCATTTTGAGGTAGACGTTCCAAAGCAGGGTCGTAAAGACACCATAGTGACTACGTTACAGGCCCAGTTGGTACTGCAAGAAGTTCTGCCAGCAGTGGCTGTCGATGGTTGTTCCGAGGATGAGTTGGCTGAGAAGGCAGCTATAAATCCAGGGCGGCAGAGAAGTGCAGGTTTTTCTTTGTCTGACTTTGGTGAAATGACATTTGAACAGAGAAAGGAAATAATGCTGCTGCAGTACCAACAAGACAGTGAACGTGAGGAACGAGCAAGTGCTCGTGAGGAACGAGCAAGTGCACGTGAGGAACGAGCAAGTGCACGTGAGGAACGAGCAAGTGCACGTGAGGAACGGGCAAGTGCACGTGAGGAACGGGCAAGTGCACGTGAGGAACGGGCAAGTGCACGTGAGGAACGGGCAAGTGCTCGTGAGGAACGGGCAAGTGCTCGTGAGGAACGGGCAAGTGCACGTGAGGAACGGGCAAGTGCTCGTGAGGAACGGGCAAGTGCTCGTGAGGAACGGGCAAGTGCTCGTGAGGAACGGGCAAGTGCTCGTGAGGAACGGGCAAGTGCTCGTGAGGAACGGGCAAGTGCACGTGAGGAACGGGCAAGTGCACGTGAGGAACGGGCAAGTGCTCGTGAGGAACGGGCAAGTGCTCGTGAGGAACGGGCACGTGCTCGTGAGGAACGGGCACGTGCTCGTGAGGAACGGGCACGTGCTCGTGAGGAACGGGCACGTGCTCGTGAGGAACGGGCACGTGCACGTGAGGAACGGGCAAGTGCACGTGAGGAACGGGCAAGTGCTCGTGAGGAACGGGCAAGTGCTCGTGAGGAACGGGCAAGTGCACGTGAGGAACGGGCAAGTGCTCGTGAGGAACGGGCAAGTGCACGTGAGGAACGGGCAAGTGCTCGTGAGGAACGGGCAAGTGCTCGTGAGGAACGGGCAAGTGCTCGTGAGGAACGGGCACGTGCTCGTGAGGAACGGGCAAGTGCTCGTGAGGAACGGGCAAGTGCTCGTGAGGAACGGGCAAGTGCTCGTGAGGAACGGGCACGTGCTCGTGAGGAACGGGCACGTGCTCGTGAGGAACGGGCTAGTGCTCGTGAGCAGGAAACAGTGAAGATTACTTTAGGGTAAAGACTGCAGTGCTAAAGGCTTATGAGTTGGTGCCTGAGGCCTACCGTCAGCAGTTCAGGAAGCTAAGGAAGTCAGAAGGACAGACTTATGTGGAACTTGTTCGGGAGCTGACGATAAAATGTAATCGATGGGTCACGGCTTCTGAAGTAGTAAATCTTAATGATTTGAGGGAACTGTTCCTTCTTGAACAATTCAAAGATATCCTTCCAGAACGCGTTGCTACGTACTTGAATGAGCATAAGGTTACAAATGTAACAGATGCTGGGGTGTTGGCTGATGAATACACTTTAACACACAAGATTCATTCAGGGGAGAGATTTGACTGGGAGAGCAGAAATAACTGGTGACCCCAGAGGTAAAGTGGGTGAAGTGTTAAGGTCGGAGCAAAGGTCCGTGCATGGCTGGGGGGATAAAGTAGATCTAAAAACTTGCAACTTTTGTTTGGGTAATGGTCACAGGAAAAATGAATGCCCGGAACTTAATGCAAAAACCAAGGGACTCCAAAATGGCCAGGTTCCCAGGCCTGTTGCCCTTGCAGCTCCTGCCCACAAGGTTGCTAGGGAGGAGGCTATAGCTGCGGTTAAACTCCATTCTACCCCGCAACCAGTTGCTGCTGCGGTTTCTAACTTGGGACTAGCCCTGCAGGAGGTGAAGCCTCGCCCCTCCCTGATAGCAGAGGAATTTGATCCAGGTTATGCCCCTTTCATATGTCAAGGTTATGTGTCTTTGCAAGGAAGTGACAAGAAATTCCTTGTTAAGATACTGAGGGACACAGGTGCTTTGGATTCGTACATAAGTGAGGGTGTTCTTCCATTTTCCTCGGAAACTGACACTGGAAGTTGTGTATGGTCTAGGGCAGGGGTTCCCAACATTTTTTCCCAAGAGCCCCCCCAAATGGCTCCTGTTGGAAGCTCTTATTTAAGAGGGCTGCAGAACAGGCTCTCGCTCTCTCTCGGCTGCCCTGCTCGGTGCACCAGGCCACTCTGTGTGTTTTATTGTTAGTTGTAACCACTGTGTTGGGATAAATGATTGTTTTGGGCAACTCCTGTGTGGAACTGTTGTCCCTTTGTTACAAGCAGAGCCAGCTTGTAACATATCTAACTTCTGAACTTTTGACAAACTCCATATAACCTAGTACAGCCTGTCCTCCTGTATATCAGATATATAGTGTACCATGACTTACATCTAGACATTTGGCATTAAAACAAAAGAGACAAGCGAGATGTGCAAATATTTTATTGGCGGATTGAGAGTAGAAGGATATTTAATGTATACACTCTGTGACAGAGGAATAAGTTGACAAGCATAGTAGATATATTCAGAATTATTCTTCAGAGCATGATTTTTTTTTTTAAAGGTGGGTGATCAACAAAAGAAAATCCTCAAGCACCCACACAGGATTCAAAATAACAGACATCAACTTAAATCTGCACACTCACACCACAAATCACCACATGTATATTTCAGTAAACTAATAATCATGTTTTTATAAAGGCAATGTAAGGAAATAAGATATACTTTGTTCCACTATGAGAGTGAGGAATGTGTTGTTAGAGACATCTCGGGTTTAAGTAAGTGTTAAATGACTGTTTCAGCTGGATATGCGAATAGAGAAGATGCAGGCAGGATGTAGGAAGCGGACACTTTCTACCGTGACTGTGCTAAGACCACGAGAAAACACATCTCTAAAGCCTCTACCTGTCATGCAGGTGTCTCCTAAAAAGCGATAGAAAACATCCGAGTCAGTTTCGGACAGTTTAAGTATACATTCCACATGTCAACGTCTAAAATAACAGTACTCTGATACAGAAAGAAGATTGCATTGTTTAGGCAGAGTTCACTACGATAATCGGGAAAAGTTTAAATATTCTCATTTCTGCACTGCTGACCCTTACCACCCAGATATCGTTAGCTACGTTAGCTTCAGTAGCACACATGAGAGCTGTCTCTTTCTATCTTTAATGACATTCAACAGTATTCATTTTCCTAGCTCTATTTGTGAGAGGAATCTAGCCAAGCCCTGTCAAAATACTTATTTTTCAGCGCCGAGGAAGCAGCAACAACAGCCATACGAACACTAAATATGAAGAGCGGGAATACGCACTTTTTGCCTGTCGAAGCTACAGCTCCTCCCCTTTCACCAGGTACACAAGGCATGGCAAAGGCTAACCACTATTTGTAAGAAAGCGTAGATATGGTTAATTTTGTCAAAATGTTTAAGCTAAATCAAAAGGCAATGGCAGAAAAAGCCAATATCTATTTTCTCTCTGAACAAGTCCAAGAAATAAATCCTCTTTAGAGACTTTGCCGTCTTATTATCGCTAATATTAGTTCCTAAATAACCATCCACCCTTTGGAAAAGTATTGAATTGCACGAATCATAAACATCTTTCTTTACATAATTTAAAACAAACTAGACACTGGAAAGGGTGATGTATACGCAGGTCATAATCTTAATATTCTCTTGAAGTAATGTTTAAAAGTCAAATACATTTCTTTTTAGAGTAGCGTTTCCCTGGCTCAGTGCGGAGCATTGACAGCTTTGCTCTGGTTGTCCTCGGCGATCTGCACCAGCTCGTTGACGGTGTGCAGCAGGCTGTAGCCGTGCTTCCTCAGCAGCCGCTGGTTGAGCCGCTGGTCTCTGAAGCCCATCTCCAGCAGCATGGCCATCAGGGAAGGGTCCTGCCGGGTGGCCGGGTCGATGCCTCGCTGCAGGGGGGGAAACAAAACAGGGATGAGATGGTGAGATACGGGGACATACAGAGTAAATACAGAGTTTACTACGTTTGAGGCAAATATTCTACTATATATTTATTGGACAGCCTTAGTTACATTTATAAAAGTCAGATGTTTATTAAGATAAGATGTACTTTTATTGATCCCAATTTGGGATTTTTTGCATTGCAGCAGCACACAAAAAACAAGGCATTGCACAAAAGAGAAATTAAAAGAGTAGAAATAAACAATTCTAAAATGTAAACATCTCAAAATATAAATTATTTATAGTATAATTATTATAAAATATGAATCAAGTAATACATTTTATATTTTATAATTGCCACACCTTTACCTGTGGCTTATTATAATCAGCAACAAGGTATTGTTATATTATTATAATAATATAATGTGTATACGAGTATAAAATGCCATTCTATATAATGAGTAGGGATGGGTATCGTTTGAAATGTATCGATTCCTATTCTGCTTATCGATTCCGGTTCTTATCGATCCCCCATTTCGATTCCAAAATTGTAAAAGAAAGAGGTCAAACGTTTAGATAACAAAAATATCTTTATTCTTTTAAGCTTTAACTGACATTTTTACAAATAAAAAATATACATGCAATACAAATGTATTGCATGTATATATACAGCAATAGCTGTGCTTTATTTGAACTGAGCTATGCCTGTGGCAAGCTATTAACAGGCATTACACTGTGCCTTGTCTTTTTCTTTTTTAGTGTAGTGGAGCCTCACTTTAGAGCGTTTACCGCGATCCATCTTTGGTGTTATGAAGTGACTGAGCTCGTGAACTGTCTACGGGAGGGCGGGGGGAGCCTCGCTGCGCGGCAACTGTGGACCTCTGTCGCCTGTCAGCGCAACTTACATGATGCCGTTTAAAAAAATTAAGGGCGGTGCCGGCCGTCAGCGTACCGAGCCAGCCGTCAACGGCCCGCTGACGACTGGCCGTTCTGTGATTCTCCAGAACACACAGATGGCCAGTCCGCCCTTACCCTGTATTCCACGGGTCACCACGGCGCAGTGGAATACAGGGTCTACCGCGTTTAGGAACCGTTAAGCAGAACCGAAATTGTGTATTTTGTATGGGTACCCGGTACCCGGCATTTTCTTATCGGTTCTCATCTGGAACCGAGTTTCGGTTCCCAACCCTAATAATGAGTACCTTTTCTTTTTCTGCTTTACATGTAGATGCTGATGAGTACTTTAGTACTGTTACAATAAAGTAAAGTTTTGAATGCAGGATTTTTACTTGTAACTGCGATTTTCAACATTTTCCTATTACTGCTTATACTTTGTAAAAGGTCTGAGTACTCCATACCTAAAACAGAGCATTTGGTTAATGGAACGTGTTGGCAGCAGCTTTATACTTTATACTTGTTGACACAATTCAGGGAAAATATGTGGGGTCACAACGGTTAATGAACTTCTGGTCTGACTCACTACACAGGCGAGTAGCTACTGAAACAATACCAATCATATCATTCCCGAGCTCTCAAATGCACTTTTCACTTTCATTTGATTAAATGTTAGGATTAACAGCAGTTTGTTAAAGTTGCATTCTTTTCCCAGCTGAGTTACAAAAGGGTAATGGAAAAACCTTTAAATGCAACACTGACATATTATTACCTTCTAAAGCTGTTATGATGAACTTTGAGTTCTGACCAGGCTTGGATTTTCGTCATTTTAGGGGCAAGGCCATTTGGCTTTTGGTGTCACACGTTTTTTCAGGGCGGAAAGGCCACATGCCAAAAATTAGGATTTGGAGCTTACAAATAAATAACTTCACTTTCTGATAAGAAATGACATGGAAAACAAATCACTTTTTTTAATATCAATAATGTCAAACATATCATCATATAGGCCTATGCCTCCTTAGTATTACCGTATACTTTGAATAATTAGTGTTTGGTATGTTTTCCATCTACTACTTCTCCCATTCACAAATCCGAAATCAAATAAAAAAAATCTAAAATTCTATTAATATGTAACAAATATATTCCATTTCAGAGCAGAAGAAACAGCCTTCAAGGGTCAAACTCTGCACATACATCATTCAGCAGTGCACAGTGAAGCTCCAACATTCAACTGTATGAACAAGCAATACTTTGAAATGCAAAAGTCTGTGCGTGTGCATGTGTGTGTACGAGAGTCTCTTTAATCAACTCCTCGTATCTGTTCAGAAACTGGACAAAAGTTAGACATGTACAAACCACAGACTGTCTGTGTGATGGCGAATACAGTTGCTGCTTTAATTCGGTCTTTAGGACGTTGCTGTGAGTTTGGACGGAGCAGCTACAACGTTAGTTTAGCCTGATCGATCCAATCTCCATTCAGAAAACACGCATTTTAAAAGGTTTTTCGCCTGCCGTCTTGTCTGCACACTTAACAAAGCATTAAAGCATGTTTTTTACTAACCGTTATCAGTATGTAGTTACTTCGGCATCATTTTGAAACGCGTGTTACAATTAAATCACGGTAAAATAGGTTAATTTTGTCGTAGTTGGTTTCCACCACAGTATTTACATGGATATAAGCCCCGGCCCCTCTCCAGCGCGTGCTGTTTGAATGACAGGAGAAAACACAGCTGACAGCCGCGGTGAAACTCCAGCGGTTAGAGCAATGCGAATATTCGCATCGTGTCCGTTGTGAACGCAGCATAATGCAGTTCAGAAACCACTGTTCTGACGCTTTTAAAGCAACTTCGAGATTTTAACAGTGCGAGGGGCCCAAAGGCCATGGTGGCCGTAGGACGTACAATTATTTTGTGGGACATAACGGCCAGACCGAGGGGCTACGACGGCCATGGCCGCCGTGAAAATCCCACCCTGGTTCAGACACAGAGCAGAATTAGCTTTCTTTTGATGTCCATTGATGATATTCACTTTCCTTTAAGCTCGGTTTGTTCTAAAAACTCCTCAGTGGATATATCTGGCTCTTTAGTTTCTAAACGCTCCACTAGTTTCACCAGCCGGTAGCTTATTTTGTCCCTCTGCTGTCTGGTGCTGCACAGGTTGTGTAAAGGGGGTTTACCAGACATTGTTTGGTTGGAAAAAGCTGCCTGCTATTAATGGAAATGTGAAACAGAAAAAGTGAAGTGAGTGAGAAAACAATTACCTGTCTGATGGGGATCTCAAAATGTTGGTCATACATTAAATCTCTGTCACACCTTTCATATTACACATAGAAGTAGGACCTGTTGTTGTTATTATAAAATATTCCTTCTTTAAATATTATCGATCACATTTTTGCAAAATGATCACACATTTTCTGGGGAAAATGCTGATGCAAAGATCATAAGATCCTAGAAATGTAATATCTCTCACGCATGTTCTCGCCAATGTGATTACATTTATCGGAGGGCCAACTCTTAAAAGGGGCCATATTATGATCATTTTCAGGTTCGTATGTAGTGTCTCTCCTGGGACATGTCTCCATGCTTTAATGTTCAAAAAGCTCTTTTCACCCTCTGTCTGAAACCAGAGCCCAGTCTGCTCTGATTGGTTAGCTGGCGGGCTCTGTTGTGATTGGTCAACTGCATAGACATGTCCAACCCCTTATATATCACGTACAATGTGTTGGAGCGCTTGCCGATAAGATGTTACTATGTCACGGAAGAAAACAAAGGATTCCGATGGAGGTGTTTCAGGCAAGGGTTGGGGGAGGGAACTTTGCAGACAATTTACATGCACACAAATCTATATAACAAACTACAGAAAAGCGAAAAAAATTTAGTTGAAAAAACTATATTTTGAAATGAATATCATCCACTTGCCCTTCAGTAATGTAATCTTCCCACTATAACTCTGATATACTGTTTGTTTTGCTATGCATTTATGATACATAAAACAAAAAAAAACTTGAAATAAGGGTTTCTATTGCCCCTTTCACACCGGCGCTTTTCCAGCTCCTGCTCGGAGCTGGAGCTGGAGCTGGAAAAGCGCCGGTTTTTCCTGTTCACACCGCAGCGGCGCCGCCTCTTAGCTCCGGAATGCGGTTCACTTCCAGCTCCAAAGAATTGTCGGTCTAGAGCAGGGGTCGGCAACCCCTGGCACGCGTGCCAGCATTGGCCCCGCTCTCTTTAACTCCAGGTGACTTTCTGCCGCTTTCCTCCGTGGTGCAGTGCTGATCGTTTCACCACGGAAGAAAGCACTTCACAAATTGCAGTACCCATAAGGAGCTTTACAAATGTCGCAGTTTTTGCGTGGCTGTGCGTGTCTTTAGTTGAAAGCCCAGTGGCGATCTGCTCATCTCTCATTGAAATAATATGCTACAAAGGGGCGGACTGGCCATCTGTGTGTTGAACTTTCCTGTCGGCTCCCAGACCGTAGTCGAGGAGGGCAGAAGCAACGAGCTTCAGGTTCAATAACCCACTTTAGCTTAAATGACTGGAGAGAGGCGAGCTCTTCTTGAGAGGCCGTTGCATTTATTTAGCTGTTCTTCTGTTTCACAAAATACATCACAGACCTCTGTTTTTCTGCTGCCTCGTTTCACTTCCAGAAACATACTCACACGCACACGCCACACCCCTCTCTCTCTCTCTCTCTCTCTTAAAGGGACAGCGATCTCATCTCACTCTGCATGACCCTAATATCATAACATGTGTGTTCTGGAGAATCACAGAACAGACGATCGTCCTTATTATTATGCCGTTTAAACCAATTATTTAAATGTGTTTGTTAAATTCGGTATCATGTAAGTTGCGCTGACAGGTCCACACACTGCTTCCCCGCAGCGAGGCCCCCCCGCCCTCCTGTTGATAGATCACGAGCGTCAAGCTCCTCAACATCCTCAACCCCCCCCACGGCACTCTGGAGAAAAGTATAAGGTTGGAGAAGTCGTTATTTTATTTAATCTGGCTTCGTATGATTAAAAGCAACACGATCATCGACCCGCCGCAGTCCCCCCCCCCCGTTGTTGTTGTTGTGAGCTCCGTTGGGGAGAAACTCAGCGATGTAAACGGTGACGTCATGACGCAGCAGCAGCAGCAGCTGGGCGGTGTGAACAGAGCGGGAGCTGAAAAGGGAAACCGGAGCTGAACCAGAAAAGCTCTAGCTAGGAGCTAGAAAGGGAAAAGCGCTGGTGTGAAAGCCGCATGTGTGATGTACCTGTATTGAGCAGTTTGGTCCTGTGAAGAGAGCTTTATAAGCGGACGCTGCCACAGAGAGGGCCCCTTTGACAAGTCCCTCGGTGATGCCTCCTTGGCCCCTTGTATAAAGACAGGGATGTGGTTAAGCTGGGTTGTATAACAATAAAGCAGAGAACAACATGTTCTAGTTAGACTTGTTTATAAAAAAAAAAAAAGACTCAGATCAGGTTGTTACACAAATAAAATATAAAAACAGATGCGTGTCGTCAACACAAAAGAGAAACCAAAGAAGGAATCTGCTTTATGAAAGTGAAATATATCAAATTTTACTCTTTGTTGTATTGCACCTTGGCTGCAAAGCGTTGCTGGGTCTGGGGTTGTATGTCTCAAAGGCACTGGATGCTGAGCCTGCTGATCTCGACAGACCAGATGATACTGCAAAGCAGATTTAAAAAAAAGAAAAGAATAAAAAGGAACAACACACATGCAAACACAATATTAGAGGAGGAACAAAGCATTCTGCTGAAGCAACAGATTCTGAAAGCTTGTGTGCGCTCTCACTTCCTGTCTTCTCACAAAGGGCAAAAATGTGTTTCCTTTCTGTGAGGCAACACTGAAGTCAATCCACCACTGTCTTATTTATAGAACACCCAAAAAACACTGGTGAAGATGTTGTGTTGATATTGCTGTGTCATGCTCAGTGGTGTTATGCTCCATGTGTGCCAGTTTGTACTATGACACTGTGATGTGCTTAAAGCTGGGGGGATAAACAGTGAAACTCACCATTTAGGTGGACCCTCGGTTGATGTGGCTCATATGGATCACAGGCTGGAGGACTGGGATCCTCGGCCAGGTACAGTGCCTCAGACCTGAAGCACAAATCAAACAAAGACGACTTAAAACATAAGTCTGTAGCAGGCAGAAGAAGAAGAAAAAACGAATCATTTAATGCTCTATTTAATCCCAAATTACTTTTTTTTTTAAGTGGCAATAGACAAGTTATTTCCTTTAACTTATTGTGAAGTAAATGTAATAGGTAAAGAATAATTAAACCATCAGTGTTTAGATTGGTTCCCTATAAGTCTAGCTTTCAAAATGGAATTCTGCCTGACCAGGTTTGATCTCTTGGGAAAATAAATGCGTAATTTACGCACAAAGCCGTGGAAAACAAAATGCAGAGTGCCGTGTGCAAAGTAGCAGCATTAGTTAAACGACGCTAAGGGCATTTATTTGCATAATTTGCGCTGATGATATGAAGTTTCTAATTTTGTCGCTTGAAGTAAGCAATCTGGTTTTCATTGTGACAGAGGCGGCGAGAATAATACCACTTGAAAAAGCGCAGTGATAAAACCTTGCCAATGTCACATATTTGAAACGTAAACATTTTCTGGAAACAATCAACAGTTCAAAAACTGTTATCAGTTGGAGGATAATTCCCCATTTGCTAACTTACAAACACATTTAAAGTTTTTTCATTTATTTAAAAGAGACATTATGTATTTTAGCTTTTGTAACCAAAACCGTTCACGGTGCAATATATCGTCATTAATTAACTTTCATACTGGGTTCCCATAGGGATGGTCATGTGTATTTATACTTGACATTGTTAACGAGGAAAACGAAGACATTTCAACCACAAGAACAAAAAAACTGACAGAAATCCAGCTTAAATACTGATTCACATCCAAAAGTTAGTTCCACACATGCCAAAGACCATTTGTGTGATCTAACCTGGGTGAGTAGAGTGTGGGGGGGGGCAGCAGGGGGTCAGGCAGCACTGGTGGAGGCACCACTACAGGCGTGAGCGTCACGGCGTCCAGGGTTTGGGAGGCGCACAGCATCTGGTTCACACTGCTGTGGGGGACGGGGACGGGTGGGGGCCACGTGTTCACAGACAAATCCTCTGCATCCACCGCCTCCTGCCTCTCTCTCAGCGGGGCCACGTCATCCGGCTCCGAGTTGGAGTCTTCCTCTTCCTCTTCCTCCTGCAGTGCGTCCGGATCGGCTGGGGTCACATCATCAGCAGCAGCAGCGGGGGGGGCGGGGTCCGGCTGCGACATGGCGGAGCTGTACATGGACTCCCCCAGAGGCCGGCTGGTGTCAAAGCAGTCTGGGAGGACGATGATGTAATCGTCGCAGGAGGAGACTGAGGAGGTCTGACTGCTGACCTGAGACACAGGAGGAGAAGATGGTGGATGTGATTACATTAAGACAACTGATGTGGTTAGAAGGGAAATGTGGATCTGAAATAATAAAGCAACTCTTACAGATAAGATGCCAGAGAAAGGTTTCAGTTTAAAAAAAGGTTAAACCCTCACCTCCTCCCAGTCTTCTCCTTTAGTTCCACCCTCCTCTTTCTCCTCTTGAATTTCTGCCATGTTCTGCATGTCATCAATGACTTCTTCGTTCTCGATATCATGATGTGAACTCGTATGCAGGTTTTCATTTGCTGGTTCCAGCAAAACTGAAAAGAAAAGGCAAAAAAAAAACACAAAATTAGCATCTAAGAATTGCAGATATCAAACTGTCGGTGTGCAATTATAACCACAGATGTAATACAAATAAGTTAATAAACAGGAATAAACAGAATCCTGGAAGTGTTCCACTAACCTGGTCTGGTCTCCTCTTCCTCTGTGATCTGGTTGAGGCCTGTGTTGACAGGCAGAGCTGAACTCTCCAGTCTAACAGCACAGATCTCCTCACTTCCCTCCTGCACTGTCTCTGTCGTCTGCTCAGCCTCTACAACCCTCTCCAAGCAAAAGCTGGTGCCCCGCGACACAACTGGAAGAAAAGAAGGGAGAAAAACTAAGTGTGAGCACCTGATTATACTGCACAAAACAAAACTGAATTTCTGAGTTAAATTACTTTGGCAACAGTGTTTAATAACAGTAATGGAAATACGGATTATCAATAAAACACAATGCCATGATGTTGTAAAAACAATAAAATCCTGTAAGCCTTACTTAAAAATAGTAGATAAATGTAGATAAGATGGTGCAATGTGACCACACAGGAAGTTACAATTGATCTGATCATGGGTCTAATGCCCTTAGAGTCATGGGTCAGTAATATCATGACTCAGCATGTATTCACTGAATCTGTATAAAAGCTGACTCAGTTTGAGTTGTTGCTCTGGGCTGTAGAGACTTTTGCTTTCTGAAAGCTGTGTGACTCCAAAGTTGATAAAAGAGTCAGAAGGACAACTCTTGGCCAGTTCATTTCAAGGGTTTCCACCACATAACACAGTGTGATTGAAGGTCTCATTCTCACCTTGAGGTTTGTGGCTGCTGTGCTGGGCCCTACGCAGGGGTCTGTGATCAGGGGCCTCCTCTAAGGTGAGGGAGCGGATGACAGTCTCACAGAGGAACTGGGCTCCACTGATCTCCTCCTCCCGGTCCTCCTCCTGGACCAAAGGCTCCAGCTGCTCCTTCTGCTGCCTCAGTCTTACTGCTTGACCAAATACAACACATATTAACAGAGTAATCCACAGATTTACCAATGAACTTCTGTAATGGACTAATGATATACTGATTTATGTGGCAGAATCAGAGATATCTTCTTCTTTATTCCACACATTATTTTTCTTGTTAAAATCTAGCGACTACATTAATATGTTATGCTAGCAGTGGCTAATGTTATGCTAGCAGTGGCTAATGTAGCCTTCAGCCGCTAGCCCAAAGATAAAACATGCTGGATACTTTTTTTTTTTTTACTTGAGTTGCATTTCCTTGGGAAGCAACAGACAACTTCATGTTTACAAAATTAAGAACACATAACTCAGGATTTTTTTTGTTACACAATCAGTCTTACCAAAAAGCTTTCTGACCCCTGTGACCTCTGCGTCTTCTTTAATCTGGAAATGTACGGGCTCCTCCAACACTGGTGGATCATGGGGCAGAGGAGATATGCAGGGAGTCAAATCTACATTCAGGAAAAGCAAACGCAACACATTTTACACACTTATTTATCGATTCTCAAACGTGTAAGTGTAGCCATTTTTTCCTAGCAAAGCTAAGGGACATTTTGGAAGGGAGGAAGTGGCACAAACCGCTCTCTTTCAACTAATCTCGTTTAAAATATTTCTCACCAACAGGAGTGTTGTTCGGAACCTTCTCCAACTCTTGCACAATATTTATATCCAGCAGCTCAAATGACAGTAGATCCTATAAAGAAACAAACAGAAGACATGTATGGAAGGTAAAGGCTGTTCTGTGAGTGTGTGCGATCACAAACAAAGCAGAGGTATTGGCTGAAAATACATGATACGGTAGATGTATGGCAGATTGTTTTTGAGCGTGCACCTGTGCAGTGAGCAGGTCCACGGAGGGGAAGTAGTAGTCTTCGTGGTTCAGGTCTACAGGAAAGACAGGGCCGCTGTCCTTTGACCTGACATCCTCCTCCTTCTCCACTGGACTCTCCTCCTCCTTCTGAAGCACACACAAGCACCATATCATGAGTATCACTACAGTGTGCGTTCAGAAAGTTCAACCATTACATTTTAAAGAGTAACCCAGGTTTAGTGTCACAATGAATTTAAGGGTTCCACAATGAAATATATGTTTCTTTAAAACCTAAATCACAGATATCCTGTTTCTAATTAATACCCTAGAACCAGACACATCGGCTTTTAAATTGGATTGTTTCTCTAATATTCGCTTTTTTGTGAAATACTGAATAATGTAACCTCTTTACAGCCCCCAACTAAAATGTAGGGGAAATCTCTCTTTGGTAGAACTGCTAACAACTCATCTGAAATGTGTATGTGTTTTTTAAAGTAAAACGCTAAGCGATTTTGATCCTGTGTCTTAATAAAAAAATGTATAAACCTAAAGGACAATGTTACTAGGGGTGTAAATCTAATCATCATCGATTCAATATAGTTTATGTAAAGTGAAACCATTGAACATCTTAAGATATGCTTTTATTTTGAAATTCCTTTGGCTGTGACCATTTCCGTCCAAGTGTATATACTTTACACAGAACCAACCCATAAGATTGTGAAATAAAATGTCAGCTCCCTTTTTTTTATAAACAAATATAAATGATGTCAAATGTGAGTAAGATGTCATCTCAAATCGAGCCCCTAAATCGGAAATTGTGGCAGAATTTGTGATTCAAGCAAAGGATGGTATTGTTGTCCAAAGAATACAAAAATATATTGTTGGTGTTAAAAATGTGATAACACCCCTCAATGTACCTTATCATTGTATCTGTCAAATAAGTCCAGCCGAAGTATAACAGAGCAAAAAATCGATATACTCAAGTAAACTACCAAAAAGATCGGTACAGCACTAGTTACAGATAATGGCAAATCTAGCCGTGCATGCCAACAGTTAACGTTCTCTCTGCAGTTGTACATTGTGTCATTGGTTATCAGACTTGCCAGTGGTTTGCTCTGATGCCCGGGTGCGTTCCGGCCGTCACCGAGGTCGACCACGATGCTGCACCAGACCCGGGGGCCAAACTGGCAGCCGCAGTGCGCCAGCCGCCAGTGGGAGGTGTACGTCCCCTCCATCACGGGGGCCACAAAGGCCACACTGACCACTCCCACTTGTCCCGGCAGCAGCAAGGGGACCGGCACCTCCTTCCTCTCCTCTGACGCCAAGCCGAGGTTTCCCCACATGAACACTAGCTGGGTGCACGTACACACATACACAAAACACAAAATAGGAATACACATGCGAAAAAGGCACAAGGACAAGAGCATGCAGCCAAAGTCACTCAGCAGAAAAATAATAAACTCAAGTGAGGGATACCCACACACACACTCTCAAACAATGACGAAGACTTAAAAACTTAAATAACAAAACTGAATTAACTGAATTCAAAACAATTGAGATCTCAGACGGAAAGGGCATTAGTAGGATTAGGCTGGGAAATACATTTTAGCTGGTGTTAGTGGATAAGAAGCTGAGTAGGGACTCAAAGTGGGAGTGAAGCAGAGGGGCCTGTCCTCTCGGCGGGGTGGAGCAGTACCTTAGTCTCTGAGGTCCAGCTGATAGTGCCCGAGTTCCTCATCTTCCAGTATTTGATGAACTTGGTACCAGGCTCCAGACGGGTGCCGTCCGGCAGATTTTCATCCAGAAACAAGGCAGCCATAGTAGGAACCAAGGACGTGTTCGAGACCCCGGGACCCCTAGTTTCAAGTGTACAGAGCATTGTTGAAAATAGCCCTGGTTTCTTATAATACCCATCTCTTTTGTTCTCTATGAATCAAAAAGCAGGACCACCAGATTTTTTTTTGCAGCTCAAAAGCAATTTTTCTTAGAAAATCTATGAAGCAGCAGCAGCAGCAGTTTCACATTGAGGTAGTTCCAACATTTTCCACCACCCCAGAGCAGCCAGCGACACACTCATACAGACTAGATTACAAAGATGGCATATTTTGATTTCTTTTCTTGGAAAAAAAGGACTTTTATTGCATCCATGCTGGGTTTGAGGTACCCAGCACTGGCGGACGCCCTTCCCACATGGCGCTTACTCTGGACTGGAGGTCTGGGGATCAGGGGCCAGGGCAGGGACGGGACCTTGGGCTGGGGCTGGACCTGAGGCAGTTTCTGTGGCAGCAGGGGGGGACAGGGCTGGGACCTGCGTGGACGTGGAGGCCATGTTTGTCAGGTTGGCTCTGCCTGAGGTAGAGGGCCCACTCCACTGCAGCCCCCTCTTCTCCAGTCTCAGTTTCTTCTTGATTTCCTTCACTTCAGCTCTGAGCTGCCTCCTTTCAGCTTTGAGGCGCTGTCGCTCGGCCTTGCGCACAGTCATGTCTCCTCGCCTTGGGAACCTGGTTTGAAATGTCATCAGGAACACCTATTTGTTGACTATCAAAAGTTTATTTTCCAAGAACAAAACACATACACACTTATTATTCATTATTTACGGTAATCTAGCTGCTAAAACATGTTTGCAGTCTTGCTCTGCGACTATTTCATATATATGTTTTCCTCCAATAATGCAGAAGAAGTGATAGCAAAAAGGGCTAGCACTGTTGCAAGTAAGAATGTCTTATAGTTTCAAGAAGTGGGAAGATTGATCCTCGGTCTTGGGCGTTTACCTCAACTCTCCCGACATGCCATGCTCAGGGATGGAGAGAGGTGTCTTGGTTCTCACGAGGTTGTGGCTGGGGTCATGGCTGTGTCTGCACATCTCACAAAGGATGCAGGACGGGCATACACTGGCAGGACACAAGCCAAGAAAAAGCAATTATATGGATACTCATAAAGATGCTTAAAGAGCACGGAATGCAGGAAAAAGTTTGACGTAAACAAAGTGCAAACTTAGAAAAAGGCACAAAGGTCTAAAGGACCACTAAACATTGTGTATGACAATATCTGTGACATGTTAAGATCATCTCTGTTGACTCATCAGGTGAAACATCACGGAGCTCCTTCTCATTGTATTATCATGTGTTCCTACCTGCACTTGTAGGCCCCTTCAGAGGTGAGTTTTTTGCAGCTGCTGCAGTTGGGGGTGTAGCCCAGGGACCCACTTGAGGTGGAGGGGCCCGGCCCTGGCCCTAAAGGACCGCCACTGGCTTCAAGGGGCCCATCTGGTGATTTGTGGGTACAACACTGGCCAGAAAAGTCATTGCACATCCTTTCCACCACCTCTTTCACTACCTCATCTTTAAACTATGGAACAAGAAGGGGAAAAAAAGAGTTTGATTTATATTATTAAAAGCTGGAGAGACAACAATATTAAGTTGAAGTTTAATTTTTTGTATTGAAATCTTACCTTCTCCATGTACGATCTAAACCACATGGGAGGTGGTTCATCTTCTGGCTTGTTCCCCTTGTTGTCCTTTACTGTGACCTGTATCAGAATAAATCAGACTTACATCAAGGAGGTGTGAAGTTAATTTTCTAGCATATTTGAGTTGAGCTTGACTTTCATTATTAGACACAAACTGACCACACAATTCCCTGTAATATTTCCATCATTGCCAGATAAATGCATAGGCAATGAAAGACTGTTATCTGTCCTTAACATTAATTGGGCTTTGCTGAATTGCATGGTCCCAACCGGATTCGAACCCGGGTATTTCGCATGGGGACCAATCAAACAGAATAAAAAGAAATAAAAGGTTGTTTATATAAAATTGGAATCTAAAGGTTATGGCTGAAGCTTTAACATATAATGTACAGCCCTATAAAAGCTATTTAAATAATAATACTACAAGAGATGAACCACAGCGGGTGCTTAAGATGTGTTTCTAGACTATTACTGTGCCTAACAATGCCAAAAAGACGCTGTAAACACTGCAAGTGTGAGAGCATGTAATGAGTAGAAAGAGGAAGGAGATGGGAGGAGGAGAATCTGTTTGTTTCCTTACAGCTTCTCGCTCCGGGGTGACCTGTGTGCCTTTATCCACCGTTTTGACCCTTGATGGATACGGAGGAGCAGGCCGGAGGTCTCCTTTCAGCTCCTTCACCTCCGTCTTCAGCGGGCCTCCACAGGCCTGACCCTTCATCTTGTACACGTTCATGTGCAACTGGTTCCCCTGCTTCTCTGCACTCTGTGTGGAAAACAAGAATGAAACACATACCACAGGAGACACAGAAGTATGAACATTTGACAAATTGAATAAAAACAATAAGCTAATATCTTGACTATGCCAAAAATAAACTTATAAGGATAAAATATAAAAACACAGTGTAGTTGTTGTTGGCACAATTGCTCTTTAAATATCTATTTAAACAACTATTGGAATGCTGCTAGACTGGTTTATGTCTTAAGGTAGGTCACACAATACATGTGATGCGTCACCTCATATTTTGTCACATGCCTGGAGAGTAACAGTCACGCAATGCAATGTTTTTGTATTTTCTTATTCACGCAATAATGTTTGACTGAATTCTCCTTCCACTACAATCGTCACTTGATTCCCATATCCTGCATGATCTCTTCAATTTTCTAATGACTTGTGAAATGTGCCTTTAAATCTCATCTTGTCTTTAATATGCGACAGAAATAAAGCAATGCCCTGTACCTTGATGGCTTCTTCATATTCATCTGAAATAAAAACACAACAACAGAACATTGATAAGTAACAATTAGTTGCACACACATATGTAAAGTACACATATTTCCACTTTTAATATGAATTATTTATAAGTATTTGTATATTGTTGGTAAGAATTGTGTATTTTCTGTTGTCTTCTTCGTTATTCCGCAGTAAGAATTGTAACTTTAAAACAAATCATATCAGGTATTATTGTTTGCTCATATTCTACTTCAAATACATTATGAAATGAAAAGATAGGCAAAAAAATGTTTTCTTACCTTGACTGTTTATACAAATCTGAAAGAAAAGAGTGAATGAGTTAGGAATATGTCAATGGATTACGCCTAAAGATCATGCAGGTCAAACATTATGATCATTTTATCCTAAGTCTAAAAACCAGTGCTGGAAGAAGAATAGAAATACTGTTTTACAGGTGAAATTCATGCATTCAAAATGTTACATAACATAAATATTATCAGCAAAATGTAAAGTAAGAGGACTTACTGTAACAAATTGATATATATCATGATAGAGAAAGGCCCAATTCAGAATAATAAATGGTATCAATTATTGTCAGTGACACATTAGTATCCACATCTCTTCAGTGTTGTGGCTGGTTAATGTGGGGCCAGTTGTCATAACTCTATATATTGCTGGGTAGCTTAATATATAATCAGTTATAATAAGTTATTAGTTGGTTTTATGTTTCGTATTAATAATCTAAATCTGGAAAGTATTTGTATAAAAGTGGTTCAAAATGTAAACAATGAAGTAGAAGTACCCAAAAAGTGTACTCCTTTACATTACTTGAGTAAATGTACTAAGTTGCAGTTCACTACTGCTCCCTTACTTAGCTAATAACAATCTTACTTCAGTTTGAACTAAAGTATTCTTATGTTTGTTAACAAACTACACTGTTTATTTATATGTTGTCCTATTAATCCGAATCTACAAAGTAACTCAACCTTTTAAATAAATGAAGTGAAGTAGAAATGACTATATTGCCATCCCAAATGTAGACATACAATAGCATAAATGTACATAACCAAGTATGGTACACTTACTTAGAGTACTTAAGTACATTTACCAAGTAACATTCCTTCAGTGGTAAACACAACAAAACGGACACATACAGTATTTGTATACACTCCCTTACCTCTTCATTATCCTCATCAAAGTATTTGACTTGAAAGTGGTTGATCCCAAAAGACGCTTTGATCTGAAATGTACACATTTAAATAATTGATTATCAAACCCCGAGGAAAAATATATTTTTTGAATCAGATTTGTGTTCCTCACAAGTGTAAGGAAAACATCAATAATGGCAAGCCGAGAAATACCTTTACAGTACAGCTAGCTACTGTAATTGTCCTGTAAAACGCATAATAGCAATCCTAACCCTCATATTCAGGGTAAGCATTAAACAATAACCACGTATGAACATTTTGTCGCAACAGTATTGCCTGTCCTTCAGGTGGTCTATTGTTTACGTGTCTAGGCCATGTCTGGGCCTGCTCTTCACCAAACTGCGCCAGCGTTTAGCCAGCACGCTCAGCTAGCAGCAGCTTACCCAGGCTTCAACGGACTCCCACTCCAGTTTGTCCAAATCCTGAGCCAGAAATCTCTTCACGTTCCCACGGAAATTTACTTTAATCGTAACAGGCAGCCCCATGTCAGCCGTTTATGAGCATATAGTGGCTATCATTTGCGGTGACACCGGCCTATTTGATCCCTGTTGCCCTCGACTGTCTTTTCTTGTTTACATCGTCAGCTGCGTCGAGAAAAATACGGTGACGTTTTCGCGCAGGCGCAGTCCAAACATCGAGTCCCTTTCTCCTGTCGCGTGTCAACCACGTCATCTTTAAGCTCACAAAGTGTGGCTGACAGGTAAAATAAGCCACACACACGTTTCAAAGGCCAATTTAATGCTATTGGAACACTCTTTTCTTCACCTATTTGATCACATAAGATGTCTTCGCTCCTCAAGGTGGACAATGAAATTAAAACCAAGGTAAGGTTTGTGTTTCTGGAAAGCCCAGTTGAGGTTATACGACGTGTTGTTGCTATTGCCTGCTAGCATGTTAGCCACGTTTTGTAGCATGATATGAGAACTCAAGCTAACAGCAGCTAGCTATCTAAAAGCGGCTAACCGTCTTGTTGCCCGCCTGTTGGAATGCACCTGTCAAACCTCCTAACAGGCGTTGATACACAAAGACAATACGCTTCTTGTGTGGAAGTTAACGTTGCAGCACTGTTTGTGAACAGGACATGCATTATATAGGCCTGAGCTAACAAGTTAGCCACTTAAACAAGCTGCCGTTCTCATACCTGCGTTATGTTAACAAGGGATATAGCTTTAAATTGTAATAGTCTACTGACACACTTGCTACACCTAGACTGTGTATGGTCATAAGTAAAAAAAACAGTGCATTTATTGATCATCCCAAACCTTATTTACCTATAAGTATTCATCAACAACATTAACTAAATGTATCGTATTCCTTGTGCAGTCAAATGTTCTAATCATTTTAACTTTAAATTATATTTTGGCTAATATTACTAATGCATTGATGTGTATGTTGCGTTTACTTGCTGTTGAAGTTTAAGGTTATGTACATTTGTGGACCCTTGTGTTGTGTTTTTGCAGGTCGATGCTTTCAGGGAACGTATTACTTCAGAAGTAAGTAGTGTCACATGAAAAAACACAGCAAACATACTGCTATCAAAACTATTCTGGTTTCCAAGTATCTAAAATATTGCATTTCTTTTAGGCAGAAGATCTAGTTGCAAGCTTTTTCCCAAAGAAGTTGCTGGAACTCGATCACTTCTTAAAGGTCAGTTATACTGTATGTCCATTCAACTGAACACACATTGATGAGCCTTAGATCTGTGCACATCTTGGTTAGAAGTGGGAGATTTGGGGGTTTTCACTTACAAGGAATTTGCCTTGGTGTGTAACAATAAACAACATACATGGCAAAAAGGGTTTTTGACTAATCAAGTAAGTAACATCAAGGTGTTTCATTAATCTGATCCAAAATGTATACAAAATCCAAGACGCAGATCTGTCATTACAAACTTGGAGAAAGACACTCGTATAAAAGGTCAAAATCGTTTGTCAAAATTATTTATCAGGCGATACATTTTTTATAGTCCTACAGTATATATCTTTATATCACCAAACCCTTGATCTTGCCAAGAGACCGATAATTATTTATAAAATAACAGCTAGTAAAATTGTTGATTTTCAGGATCCAATCATAAACATCGCTGATCTGAAGGAGATACACTCAGAAATAAACCTGACTGTGCCAGACCCCATTCTGCTCTCAAACCTCCATGACGGATTAGAAGCGGTGAGTCTCCATTTTAGAGAATAATTAAATCCTCAATAACTAATGTGTGCAGGGCAGAGGGGAGTGTGTAGCCTGATCCTGTTTGTATCTGTTTCTCAGCAAAATGCCAAAAAGAGAAAGCTTGAGGATGGAGGTGGGGAGGACAAGGGTGAGTACAAGACTATTAACTAGGTCAAATAGATTTAAAGGGAAATAATTCTACTTACCGGTACTTTACTTTTTTTCTGGATCAATGGACACCATTCATCCTTTTTTCGCGGATCAATAATAATAATTTAGATGTGAATAATTCTGCTGTAAATAACAGCCTTCTTATGTTTGGATATGAGTGGTGTCTTTACTTTATTAGCTCACATCAAAAGAGAAACGTTTTCTTTCTTGCAAGCAACTAAAACGCATTTTACATTTTTTTTTTTCTTGCGCAACGGTAACACTTCTTTGCTGATACATATACCAAATGTTCCTGCTTTCCTGGTTGAAACGTAAATATTCTCCCCTCCTTTCTCTCTTCCCTGTGTAACGCAGTGACTGGCACCAAGGTCTTTGTCATGCCTGGTGGGATGATGAAGAGCAACGGAACCCTTGTGGATCTCATTGAAAAAGTCAAACCAGAGATCAGGACACTCATAGAGAAATGTAACACAGTAAGTAATGTCTCTTATATCCTGTCCCAGGGTCGTACTCTTGCGTCAGAAGCTGAATGTTAAAATACCAACAGTAAACCTACATGAGTTGATACAACTAGACATTTGTAAAACAAGTCTAAGACTAATATAAGGTTATTGATGAATATGGTGTGAAAACTATTCTGAGTTGCCAGGCTTGTCTTAATTCAAAACATACACTTACTAAAGAGACTTCTAAGGCGCCGTTTACACAAGGACAAAACTGCTTGTATCTGCATAGTTTCGCGTGCGTATAGCCCTATTATTTACACGAGGCCGATAGAAACGGACCCCACAAACGATAACGGGTCCCAAGGTGGATAGATTTGCAAACGAAACGCTCTGGGGGGTCAACCGAGTCCGTGTAATCACCTCCATACGAATATTTCCTGAAAAAATAACGATAGCCCCACCTCTCCCCGCCTCTGCTGCTCACTGCTGTAGCATGGCCAGTAGCCATCTGTAACGATCAACTATCAAAAATAGCTGTGTTAATTAAACGCACAAGGGGTTCTTGAATGAAATAATATTATAAAAGGCAAACCAGAATTGTTAACGCCCAATATACTCCTTAAACAAAATAAACAGAGTCAGATTTCATGCATTGATCCATTATATTGACAATTTTCCAGCCAAACAACACAAACAACACAAACAGTCCGCTCTGCGATACACCAAAATTGTCTTTACTGCCTAATCCAGGCCATTATTGTTCATTGCTCACCCGGTGTTTGTAGAGAATATCTCTCTTTCTGAGCGCGTCCTCTCCACGGAGACGTGCTTCTTGGTCGGTCGATGCAATATCCACAGATTCGGTTTCTTTCAGTTAACTTCCCCGTTGCATTTATCCATATATTTACATGCTGAGGAAATTACTACATCCCGCTGAATACCAGCAATCGCCACACACAAAATAACGATAGCCCCACCTCTCCTACTCACTGCTGTAGCATGGCCAGTAGCTACTGTCAGTAGCTACTGCTAGTGCTACTGCTACTGACCATGCTACAGATGTTAGTACAACATCTACAGCTCCTCTACCACAACCATCAGCAACAAGTGGACATGGAGAATTACATTAACTACTACATGTTGCTAAATCCACCGCGGGGCATAAACAGAAGGGTAGCCATGGCAACATTGCTGCGGGGCTGCTTCGGGGTCTTCTTCGCTGCTTTTGGTGTATTTTGGCGGAAGTTACAGCGCCACTTACAGTCCCGGCATATGTACTACAGCGTTTCCAGCAGTCTCGTTTGAACAGACACGTTAAATGAAACGAATGCATGTGAACGGAAGACTTTTTTGAAAGCGCATACTGTGCATAAACGCAAACGTTCCCGTGTGCACAACGCCTAAAAGGGCAAGCTATGCGTCTAACTGGTTGAACAACTTTTCTAGCCTAAACGTATTCACATTCAACCTGTTAATGAAGAACATTATTGTTAGTATTTAGTGGCCACCGTTTCCAGACAGTTACTGCAACTGTTGTGGACATGACCAATCTACGTCTATACTTCACTGTGAGCCTTCCAGATGTTGCATCTTTTTGTTCTTAGCATTTTTTTTGTTCTTCTGTAGGTCAAAATGTGGGTTCAGCTGCTAATCCCCAGGATAGAGGACGGCAACAACTTTGGAGTGTCAATCCAGGAGGAGACGGTAGCTGAACTCAGAACAGTTGAAGGGGAGGCAGCATCTTACCTTGACCAGATATCAAGGTCTTTCAAATTCCTAACCATATTGTTTTACAAAAACCTGGTTAATGTCAAATTACTTGGATGCTACAGTTTATTTTCCTGTGTTTGATTGTTAACTTGTTCTTTATAATTTACAAGATTCTTCCTGGGTTTTTTAGCAATGTTAACTGTCTTCTTTACTTCTAGATACTACATCACAAGGGCAAAGCTCGTATCTAAAATAGCAAAATATCCACATGTGGTAAGTAAATATTTTTGTTAGCACATAGCATTGCCTCTTTTTGTCTATGAAAAAGGGTTGATTTTGGTAGAGTTTCAACATTTTTAAACTGCATTTTACTTTACTGTTGGTTCTCGACACTATGGCATGCTGATAAAGTCACGATAAGTGTTTAATGAATCTTTTGTGCATGTGAATGCGATTTTATTCCAGGGCGAGAGTGGCTGTCCCTCCCACAAACAATGAAAACTTCTATAGAGAGAATGTAAATACATTCAATGGCTATTACTGAAAAATTGTATATGATAAATACATTTAAAAAATGGGTTTGTTACCCTGAACATAAAATATAAAGCAGTAAAGAAAACGGAAGTTGTCTGGCCCTTGTGAGATTGTGTCTAACTTAAGTGAAGATGAGCATGAATATTGACATTTGGATAAACTCTATGTTTTTTATTAGGAGGACTATCGGCGCACAGTAACTGAGATCGATGAGAAGGAATACATCAGTCTGAAGATCATAGTTTCTGAGCTCAGAAATCAATATGTAAGTTATTATTTCTATTTCTCATATAATATTTGTTTGAGTCAATGGAAGTATATCAACAGTAAGCTGTATTTTCCACATGGTCTCTTTATTTTCTGTGAAGGTAACGTTACATGACATGATCCTGAAGAACATAGAGAAGATCAAGAAGCCTAGAAGCAGTAATACTGAAGCGTTGTACTGATGTTCATACAGCCATCTCTGCCTCCACCCCTCCTCCACCCTATCATGCCTGTTGAGCTGCAGTAGCCCTCGTCCGCAGGACTACAACTCAACTTTCACCTACAGTACAATCATCACCACCCAGTACAAGGACAAAGCATCCACACAGGGACACATGTTTTTGTTTTAAATGTAAAATATTGTTCTTGTTTGAAACCCTTTGAAGGAAAATGGGGAAATAGATCATAGACAACAAAAGGCTCTATGTATTTTTTAATTTTAATTAAACATTTCGTCCTCAGCTCCATTTATATCTTAAAATAATTCAAAGCAAAGTGGTTTGTTTCATGTCCACTGCTTTACTGAATTTTCCTTTTATTTAAGTCTTCTATTTGACTCTTACACCATCTTTCTTGTTGCACATCCATTATAGTCTTGAGGATACGCAACACGAAAGCTGTTTTTGTTTTTTCTCCGAATGTTATACATTACACAGTATAATAGTAACATCTGAATACTAAGCAGGTTTTAGGTCTACATGCTTATTAGTTTTCAGTGAAAATTCCCGAGTCACCAAAGCATCTCTTATGTTAAGGCATTGATGTTACTGAATAAAACCTTTTGATAAAAGAACTACTTCTGGCATTTATGTTTTTTTTTTTAATATATCCTTTTGGATATATGATGAAGATAGTTTTATAGACACATGTAAAGAGGTTTTCATTAAACGTTCATACTGTAGTTATGGGTTTAGGCGTACAGTAAAAAAACATGTAGCTATGTTTTCTCTAGACCTGCAGATGTCACTGTTGCTCTCTTTACATTAGCAGAAGACACAAGTAGCGCGTTCACACCGGAGTACTTTTCCCACAATAGTTCATCAGAACTACGATATATTTGCGTTCACACCAAAAAGCCCCAGGAACTAAATTAGTTAATCTGAACCATTTTGACCCGCTTTTCAGTCCCTGCTAGAGAGCAGGGACTTTCGTGGGAGAAAAAGGTTCATACGTCTGATTGGCTGTGCGGAATGCAAACCACGCCCCGTACAACTCCCAAAAAGTGTTATAAAGCAGCCATTTTACTTGCTCGCATTAAAATCTCAGCGTAGCAACGAAGATATTACTTTTTTGAAAGAAGCTATGGCAACACCAAAGAAATCAGCGGAGCGGTGGAGTGATGATAATGTGTCGGCGCTTCTGGAGATTTACTCGGACGACGCGATCCAGAGACTTCTGCTGAAGGCATTTTCCAACGCGAAAATGTACGAATGTATTTCGGTAAAGTTAGCGGCCATCGGAATCGTCCACAGCGCTAAGTCATGCCGGGACAAAATAAAGAACACAGCAAAGACCATCGATTCTGGCACGACCCTAACCGCTCGTAAAACACAGGAGGTATGGAAACTAAGAACACCATATGTGGTAAATTGTACAGCTAATATAACACAATACATTAGTTGTATTTCCTTTAAGGTCTGTGTAGTAAGAACAACACCAAAGTACTCTGTTTTCCCAAGGATATGGTCTCCGACTTGGCTGAGAAGATCCTGCATATTGGGGCTGAACATCCGACTGTGAAGAATGTGGTACTACATATTGGAACAAATGATGTTGTGAAACAACAGTCAGAAGCGCTGAAAGAAGACTTTAAATGTCTGTTGGAAACTGTCAGCTCTCTAAATGCGGAGGTGTTCATCAGTGGCCCTCTACCGCCAGTCAGAAGAGGAGTGGAGAGATTCAGCAGACTGTTTGCATTGAACATGTGGCTTTCAGCTGCCTGCACTGACCATTCTGTCCATTTTATTGACAATTTTAACTTTTTCTGGGATCGCAGACATCTTTTTAAGGCAGATGGAGTTTGCCTGAACAAGTCAGGAGTGAAATTGTTTATCTCTAACATATTCAACTGCCTGCGTCAGCAATCTGTTCCCTCTGCCAAGGACAAGCGGCAAGAGGAATCAAAACAGGAGAAAGACACAACACATTGCGCAGAAAACCCTGAAGAAGTATCACTGCACCCGCCTGAGGAATGTTCTGATTATGGGAGACCTATGACACAAATGGAGGAGTCTCCACTGCCCGTCACCCCCCCTGTCAACGCCTTTGAGGATACTCTTCATTCATCCCCCAGCTCTCTCTACTCTCCGCTCACCCTTTCACCCTCGCCCTCCCCCCTGGAGTTCGATGACCGCATGAAGGCGAGATGCAGGGTTGGCAGCATGTCCTTTACCCCCGCCCCTCAACGACGCCCACCAAAATCACCGAAGACAAGCCTACGTCAACCACCTCCCCCCCCCTGGCAGCATCTCCTTTTCCCCCGCCCTTCCACAACGCCCACCAAAATCACAGAAGCAGAGACGCGCACCATCTCCCTTCCCTTCTTCATCACCGTGCCTACGTCAACCACCTCCCATCCCTTCAAGAAAGCATCTGCAGTCTCCGAAGCCTGATAAGGATGTGTGTGTACAAAACGCAACAAACTTTTACTGATATGTGCTGGGTCCAGGCTCAAGGGCATATGGCACTCTCAACTCTTTCCAGCACATGCCGGGGCCCTGCCTGCCAGTAGCTTTGCCGATATCTGTGTTGATAGGTAATAGATTAAGAGCGGTAAATCAGCTTAGAAACAGGAAGTGCTCAAACGTTTGTGTGAGGTTATCAAATTTAGCAGTGATTCCATGTCAGCCACAGCTTGTCACAACATGTTTTACTGATAGTGTATTTAACAAACTTAAACTAGCTTTATTAAATGTCAGGTCTTTGGCAGGAAAAACATTTTTAATCAATGATTTTATCACTGAGCACAATCTCGATTTTATGTTTTTAACGGAAACTTGGATTGAACAAAATAACAGTGCAGCTGTTCTTATCGAATCAACCCCTCCCAACTTTAGTTTTATGAGTCAGGAAAGAATGCATAAGAAAGGAGGTGGAGTTGCTATTTTGTTCAATGATTCCATTCAATGCAGGAAGACATCTTATGGGGACTTTGCTTCTTTTGAATATGTGGCCCTTCAGCTGAAATGCTCCTCTCGAGCTCTGTTCCTAAATATCTATAGACCACCCAAATACTGTGCAAGCTTTTTTGATGATTTTACTGAACTGCTGTCTATAGTGTGTATTGACTTTGACCTTCTAGTCATTGTTGGTGATTTTAACATCCATGTTGACAACCCCCAGGACAGAGGGGCTAAAGAACTGTTTTGTGTTCTTGATTGGTTAGGATGTATTAGAACGAAATCTAAAATGAAAATTGTAAATAAGCCATCTGTATGTAAAAAACCACCTGTATGTAAATTGTAAATAAGCCATCTGTATGTCAAATATGTCTTATATGTCTTAAATGATATGATGAATTGGAAATGGGGGACCCTGATGTAAACAAGACGAAAGTCTTTCTCTGGTCTGCATCCCCTTAACAATTGTATGTTTTGAGCTGTACTGTACTGTACCCAATATACAAGCTGTTAATAAACTTTTCAATCAATCAATCAATAACTATGGACTGACTCAGCATGTGGCGGAGCCCACGCACAATAAGGGGCACACTCTGGACTTAATTATCTCAAAGGGTCTGAATATCTCAAAGGTTGTGGTGACTGATGTTGCACTCTCTGATCATTCCTGTGTTTTCTTTGAGAGCTCTTTCTGTTCACAAAAATTTTCAGAAAGAGGTAACCACAAAGCGATATTTAACAGAAAATACTAGGGAAATGTTTACTCATAATTTTTCATCCACACTTGCCCCTGCTAACATCTCAGTAAATGAGCTAGTAGATCATTTTAATTCAAAAATTAAAAATGTTATAGATACCATTGCTCCAACTAAGGTAAAGGAAGTGATTAGCAAGAAAATATCTCCATGGAGAAAGGCCATGACCGTGAGAACAGAAAAAAGAGAGTGTCGAAAAGCTGAACGTAGGTGGCGAAAAACAAATCTCCAGGTTCACTTTGAAATCTATAAAGAGAGACTTGGCCTTTATAATTTGGAATTGAAAAAGGCACGACAGTCTTTCTTCTCTGACATCATTACCAAAAACAAAAACAACGCACATGCCTTGTTTGCTACCGTCGACAGACTAACTAACCCCCCAGTGTCAGTAGCCTCTGAATTTCTATCCACCAGGGCGTGCAATGATTTTGCCTCCTTCTTCACTGACAAAATTCAGAAAATTAGACAAGCAGTCAGTGCCTCTACATCAGGTACAGCAAATGTTTTGTCCCTATGTCCACCTAATATCAATTCAAACACCATGACACAATTCCATCAGATTAATGGTAAAAACTTAGAGGACATTATTCAACTTCTGAAATCCTCCTCCTGCTGCCTTGATATTATTCCAACAGGATTTTTCAAAGATGTTTTTCATTGCATGGCCTCAGATCTACTTCATATAGTAAACACATCTCTTCACTCAGGTATTTTTCCAGAGGCCCTGAAAACTGCAGTCATTAAACCGCTCTTAAAAAAGAATAATCTAGATGCCTCAGTAATGAACAATTACAGGCCAATATCAAACCTGCCATTTCTAGGTAAAATCATTGAAAAAGTTGTATTTCAACAGTTGAGTAACTTCTTGCATTTAAATAACTGTTTGGATGTGTTCCAGTCAGGATTTCGTCCAAACCACAGCACTGAGACTGCTCTTGTAAAGGTCTTCAATGACATCCACTTAAACACAGACAGTGGCAGAACTTCAGTGTTAGTATTATTAGATCTCAGTGCTGCGTTTGACACTGTTGACCACAACATATTACTAGACCGACTAGAAAACTGGGTGGGACTTTCGGCAACAGTTCTAAATTGGTTTGAGTCCTACTTAAAGGACAGAAAAAACTTTGTTTCTATAGGTAAATACACATCTGAGTTGACATATGACATGTGGGGTACCTCAAGGCTCCATCTTGGGGCCTCTTCTCTTTAACATCTACATGCTACCACTGGCTCAGATAATGAAAAACAACAAAATAAGTTACCATAGCTATGCGGATGACACACAAATTTACGTAACAATTTCACCAGGAGATTATGCTCCAATTCAAACACTGAGTAAGTGCATTGAACAAATCAATGACTGGATGTGTCAGAACTTTCTCCAATTAAACAAAGATAAAACTTTTTAACATAAAATGGTTTTTTGAGCCAAGGCAGAACATATAAAAGTTAGCGCTGAGCTTCAGTCTGCAATGTTCAAAACAACAGATAAAGCCAGAAATCTAGGTGTAGTCATGGACTCTGACCTGAGTTTCAACAGTCACATTAAAACAGTTACTAAATCAGCCTACTATCACCTAAAGAACATATCTAGGATTAAAGGACTAATGTCACAGCAGGATTTGGAAAAACTTGTCCATGCTTTTATCTTCAGTAGACTCGACTACTGCAATGGTGTCTTTACAGGCCTCACTAAAAAATCTATTAGAAAGCTGCAGCTAATTCAGAACGCCGCTGCTCGAGTCCTCACTAACACTAAGAAAGTGGATCACATCACTCCTGTTCTGAAGTCCTTACACTGGCTTCCTGTGTGTCAAAGAATAGATTTCAAAATATTGTTGCTGGTTTATAAAGCTTTGAATGGTTTAGGCCCAAAATACATGTCTGACCTACTGCTAAATTATGAACCATCCAGAACTC